ACGCCTTTGTTGGGGAGTTGGCTATCTTTAAAAGGGAGTCGTGCATCTTAGCAACGGAGTAAGACACCCCTTTATGAGAGTCAAGTTAAAATGAGGTGTCTTGACTCTACGTTATTGCATGACTCACTTAACATGGAGTCGAGACTCCTTTTACACATTTGACTCCCATAAAAGGTGCTTTACTCTCTTGCCAAAATATCTGACTCCTCATCAAAGAAGGATGACTCTCTTTTGAACGTAGGTGACTACCTTTGGAGAATAAGTGATTCCCTTTTGAAACTGTGTGACTCTCGTTTGAAAATGAGTGACTCCCTTTTTAACATGTGCGACTCGCCCTAAAAATGTGCAACTCCCTTTTCGAGAGGCACAACTCCTTTTTGGAAATGTGCGAATCCCTTTTGAGTTAAGGTACGATTTTCTTTTAAGATATGTACGACGCCTATATAGTATAGTTTACATATAGGTATGACTCGCTTTTGAAGGTGTACGACTCCCTGTTGAATGATCCCTCATGATCTACCACTCCCTTTTGCAAATTTCCATTGATGTACGGCTTTTTTTTTAAAGAACTACGACTAAATACCTCGCTGAAGATATGTCCCTCTAACAAAAGTGTGACGTTACATTACGGGAACGTTAAACTCTAACAGAAAAAGTATACTCCCTATTTAAGGTTTCAGACTCCTCTACGACTCCTTTAAACGGATGTTATATAGGTGGCGCTGCTATCGTGCTGGTACTGAAAGTTTTACTTTTTCTCATAGATGTCGCTGATTGTGACAGTCTTTTTTTGCGTCGAACTTTCCGCTTTTTGTCTGTAGGTTTGACGTACCTTGTCTTTCTTTCATCATTTTCATCAGTTTGGCAGTTTGAGATTTAGGACTGGCCCATCACAACTGTATGATGTAAGATGATTGTGTGGTAATGCTTTGACGGCTAAAACTCGGTGAAAAGATTCATGTTGTATATAATAAAGCTTAATACTTGCATGTGCGTGGTTATACTGATTAGATTCCAATCTTGGAGTCAAATCAAAGTTTGCGGACCGGATGTGGACATTGAAGTCATGTCTAGAGATCTTCCGAGAACAATACTTTGGAATTTCTCAAGATTTGATGGAAATGGAATACATCTATACATGTCACGGTGACAACAGTGAATGGCGGCACCGTGGATTGCTGTTTCGCTGAAGAATGGTGAAACACCAAATAAGACGATTCTGCTGAAGCGCGTCGCGCGTAGGGATATTTGACACCTTTAGGAAGATAACACTCCAGAAAAGTGTCATTTGCACCTCGGTACGGGGTAATTCAAGAGAGCTATGACTCCATTTAAGGTGATATGCCAAAAAGTCCGCCCCATAGGAGTGTCAAAATACCCTCTTTTGGGGCATCATTACCCCAAAAGAAAGAGTCCTAAGGGGAGTCGCGACTCTATTTATGGTGACATGCCAAAAAGTCCGCCCCACAGGGGTGTCAAAAAACTCTCTTTTGGGGCATCCAAACTCCGAAATCAAGAGTCCATGTACGCCAATAAACGGCGTTCACGGACACCATATTACGGTGTTATGATGCCCCAAAAGAGAGTTTGTTTGACACCCCCGTGGGGCGGACTTTTTGGCAGAGTCACCCTACCCCACATTTGGTGTCATTTTTTCTTTCAGTGTAGAATCACAACACAAGCTCTCACAACACCAAAACGGATTTCGACCAGCACGCTCCACAGCTGACAACTTGATACACATTATTGACACGATACAACAGGGGTTTTTCCATAATAAAGTTACAGCTGCACTCTTCCTCGATCTGAAAGCAGCCTTCGACAAAGTACATCACAAAGCTATACTTATAAAAACACATAACATGGGAATACGCGGCCGAATGGCCAATTTCATAAGTAATTTTCTTAATAACCGCACTTTCAAGGTCAGAGTAGGCAACACCTACTCAACCCTACATAACCTCGATCATGGCGTCCCTCAGGGAAGTCCTCTCTCCCCGACGCTCTTCCTTATATATATAAATGACATCTTTGACAATATACACAATGTAACACATAACGTACACTATTCCATGTACGCGGACGATTTGGCGGTCTGGACGTCGCACCACAATGTGAATGCGGCATACCAAAAACTTCAAACGGTACTAAACCACGTAAACAAATGGTGTGACAAGTGGGGAATGCAAATTGCTCCCCACAAGTCAGCCTCACTAACCTTTTCCAAACAACGCAGACACCCCACACCTCCACGCCCGCTCCGTTTGGGCCGGGTTGAGATTCCGCAAACAAATACCTTTAAATATCTAGGCATCACACTGGACAGGGGACTCACTTTCACACAACACATAGCAGACATCACAGGAAGGTGCACCCGGCGCCTCAACATCATGAAATGTATCTCTGGTACACACTGGGGCGCCGACAGAAAAACACTGACACTTCTATATACATCTCTGATTCGATCCATCTTGGATTATAATGCCTTTTTACTAACAAATATATCCACTACTCTCAGTAACAAGGTCGAGAGTATCCAGAATTCCGCTCTTCGCATTATTTCTGGCGCACTCCGCACTTCGCCTTCCTCGAATCTCCGGGTTGATTCAAACATTCCTCCTCTGGAAAGAAGAAGAGAATACCAGCTTATAAGGTATTACACGAAAGTAATGGCAAGAAAAGATACAATACCATACGCTATACTCAGTAACCTACCAGAAAATAACATAATAACACATAGAGAATACAAGTACCAAACAATAAGAAGACACCTTAAAAACATACTTAGGGACTATAAAATAGAAACTCCAAAGGTTCTTGATAACCCTCCACTGAGCCCGTACTGGACTAGGCACCCCATCCAAACCCTCATCCTCTTCGATGACAACAAAAAAGACATGAACACTGATGAAATGAAACAACTTTTCCTCGAATTCCAAAACGACCATAAAGACCATACTTTTATATACACAGACGGCTCTCGGGCGGACAACAAGACCGGAGCCGCCTTCTATATAAAAGGATTCGCACAATCCACCCGCCTCTCCGATAACCACTCCATCTTTTCGGCCGAACTCTACGCGATCAGTGCAGCGCTTCGACACGTAATCAACAAACCTGATAGACAACTAATGATTTGTACTGATTCCAAGGCAGCAGTGCAATCAATCGCAGCGGCCCATAATGATTCGCACCCAATCACGCGAGACATTAAAAGACAAATTAATCAAATCACCGACCAAAACAGAGAAGTTAAGATAATCTGGATACCCGGTCACGCGAATATTGTGGGGAATGAGCGCGCGGACAAAGCGGCCAAAGCCAGCCTCCGTGATCCCCCCAATAACTCCCTCCCATGCCCGGTATCAGATTACGTCCTACAAAAAGTATGTCCAGTTTGAATGGGACGTAAATCCACATTACTACTTTCACCCAATCAAACCAATTATCGGACACTGGTCGACTGCTTATCAAAATACCCGGCTTAAAGAAGTAATTATAGCCAGACTTAGAATCGGACATACTAAATTGACACATGAATATATCCTTGATCAAGGCCCCCCTCCAATCTGCCAACGTTGTAACATAAGATACACAATTGAACACTTCTTGATCCACTGTCCCCAATATCAAGCAGAGAGGCAACCTATAATCCAATATATCACCCACAACCAACTTGCACTTTCAATTCCTACTCTCCTCGGCGATTCTCACCCGGATCTACTCGACTTGCTTTTCACTTTCCTGAAGAATTCCAGGCTAGACCGATCCATATAGCACAGTCTCGCGCTCAGTTCCGTGGTCGGCCAGCCGTCGATAGCGGTTCTGGGCGCGGGACTCAATCTTTTTGATTTCCTGGATACTGGCCATGTCAATTAAGGAGCCCCGAGCTTACGGGCACCAGCCGCCGCCGCGGGGACCATTGGCACGCGGCGGCGGGCTCCTCTGCCCCCCATCTGCTTGGAGAAAGAGGTGTCGGCACTATGCCGTCCGCAACGACCCGTTTAATGAATTGTTACGTCACTGGAGTCCGCACTGAAACGTCAGTTCTGTAATCATACCAATCAGCACTTGGTGGGGGTTTTGTAGGAGCCCCGAGCTTACGGGCACCAGCCGCCGCCGCGGGGACCACTGGCACGCGGCGGTGGGCTCTTCCCCCAACTCCTTGGACACATGATTTTCTCTTGGTTTTTCTTGGTTTCTCTTGGTTTCTCTCGTGATTTCATCGTAATTGTTTTTGTTTCCATTGTTCTTGTTGCGCCGTGATTTCGTCTATGTTTGCGAGCGCGCGCGTTTGCGTCCCTCCGGCGGCGGCGGCGGCAATCGGCACCTGCCCATCCCTCTCGCGGTTCTCGACAGGGATCCCTCTTAAAGGTTGAGGCCCACTCGAGACACATAGCCCCACAAACACACTTACACATTAGCGATATAACGTAACGTAATATCAAAGCAAAGGGATTTTTCCTGTGCAATTTGGCAAAAGCGCACAGGTTTTGCCCTCTAAGATAGGCACCAGGTTTTTCTAGTTAGGACTTTCCTGGTGGAACTCGCAACACAACAACAGCACACATTACAACACTACCACATTTCAGCATCAAGATTCAGCAGCAAGAAATGTAAGTACTCAAAATCCCTCTCGGCACTGCCACTCTGGCACCCTTTCTGGCTTTCCCTTGCACTTGCTCCCACCGGACGTCACATGAGCCGGTCTAACGTAAACTTTGCTCTTGATATTGCCTTGGGCCGGAATAACATAGCCGGCATTAAAGTAAAGTAAAACGGAAGATCTGGCTAATTGCCAGCTAGTAACTTCCCCCTACCCCGACCAGGGCCTCGGCCTGTCGGGAGCAAAATTCAAAAAAAAAAAAAATGTCAGATTTCAACCTACAGGTAAAAGCTGGATAAAGGTTTTTGCTATCTCCAAGGCTTTCATATGACCTAAGAACACCGTATCTGACGCAAAAGATCTAATTCCTGCGCAGTTTTTTAATGTTCAGAAATGCCACGTTGTGATGTCCGCTTGCACAGCCTGTCATAAATCTACCAACGATCAGCGTAAAAGCAATAGTTTGCATTCGCTAGCTTTTGCATGCTGCAAGTTTGAACAGTTAAGTTTGGTAATAGTGTTTTTATGTTTTGAATGGCATATCGTGGAATTCAAAAAACGTTTTGTGCGGCATTTCAGCCGTGCCTTTTATTCTGTTGAGCGTGTTGCCACGAGATAATTAGAGCTTGTGAGTTTCGCAGCTAGTTTTAGTATCAGTCACAATTTGAGTGTCAAGGGTTCTGCTGTTTTTGACAGGATTTAGTTCAAGGCTTCTTTATGTATTGGAAACTCGAATTAAAAGATAAGAGAAGCACAGCTATTATAATTAGATAGGTGCCTATTTGGGCATTTTATGAAAATAAGTTGAACTTGATGTAATCCATTATCTAGCTTTTCAGCCTTTGAAGGTGTTTGAGGCCAGACATGTGCACAGATCCCAGACAACCAAACACGAAAATAGAGATGATTAGTGGTCGTAAAGCATGGAATTATTGTGGAATATATTGCTTATAAAAGCCTCCAAATGATGGACCATTCTTGCATTTCTTGAGAGTCAACAGCTCTGAGAAAATCTTGAGATCCATCTCGGGTCCATGATCCGGGATCATGGATTTGAGCTGGAGCTTGAGGGATTTTTTTCATAAAAGTCAATTCTGAATGAATGCAGAAAAGTCAGTTTGTTTGGAGGCTTTATAAGCAATGTTTTTCCACTAGAGTTCTGTGCTTGAAGTTTGTTAATCTAATGGCCAACTTGATTTTTGTGATTGGTTGTCTGGGATTTGTGCACGTGTCTGGTTGAGGCTTGGGGCAAGGTGTTACATTTATGAACAAATGACTATAGGTAGGTATGTTTGCTAAAGCATGATGATCTCAGCCATTAGGAGGGTGCCACAAGATACCACCAACACCAGCAATAACAGCTGCTAATCATGTGCCACTGTTTGTTGCCATTATGCATTGAGACATTGAGAATGGTAGCAATCTGTAAGTTAAACCTGATCCAATAAAACCAACATGTTGTGTTCTTTCTTTATATGTATTTGCTTTGCAAACTCATGCAGCTCTTGTTGGGTGCAAAAGGCAGATGTAACACTGCTCTTATTCCTCTGCTCCTTCATCAAAGCAATCAAGATCCAAACAGGGGAGGTTAGGGTGTATAGTGAGCAGTTCTTTGAAGTTTAATGTGACAACCACTTTAGAGAACACCATCTCAAACTGAAAAAAAAAAACAGATGAGGGCATAATACAGGCTGGCTGAAGTTTTTTGACAGAGTAGTTAATCACTGGAACAGATTGCTAAAAGATGTGATGGAGGCTTCATCTATAATAAACAGGTTAAAAATCAGACTAGGACTGCTGAGCCTGGTTCCTGGTTCCTCATGCCATGATTTACCTTATTTCTTAGTCCAACTCAATGTGAACACTGAACAGACATTGCCTAACTACAGCTCACTATCATTCAACTCCAACCTCATGATGCTCCTCTGGCTCTCACATTTGAAAGGTCCTCAAGCATAGTTTGTAATTTGTGTACATAAGCAAGGAAAGTTCATCATCTGGAATAAAGAGGCATTGTAGTCTCAGTTAGATGAGTAGACCAGTGTCACTCAGGTGACAGGATGTTTGGCACAAGATCCAAGATCAGTGCCTTATGCCTTTTTCTGTCGAGTCCCTGTAAAAAGTTTATAGTAAGGGTTGAAGAAGTAGGGACATGATGCCTCATTGTTGCACGAGACCAGGGAGGCAGTGGTCTCAAAGTCAAACCATATTTGAAGACTGAAGTTAACAGACATTTATGCCCAAAGACTTTCACTTAGTGTGTTTGTCTCCCTTATATCAAAATAAGTCTTCTTTTGTTTGGTTTTGAGCCATGGCACCACATGGTTAATGTGTGACAGGCTGCCATGCATTTTGATACGTGACAAAGGAGGGTGCTGGGTCATCACTTGGCAGAGGCCCTGTGGTGGTGTGAATCAAACCTGCCATTAGCAAGTTGAAAACACATTTTTAGAGGATGCTACAGAGGTTATTTGAACCCTGTAGCAGCTTCTGTAAAAGCAGTATGGGTGGAGTGTTTTCGGTTGACATTTTCCTCTATATTCCAGGTTAATAGCCAAAAGTTGTGACAATGAGCTCAGAGAAAGAAGATGGGCCACCTCTTAAGGTAAGCTTAAACTAACAAGTTTGCATTCATTATCTAAAGAGTGAAGCATTTGTAGGTCAGATTATAACAAGTTGTCTTCATTCAAACTAAACTCAATATGCATCTCTTGGTATGGTTCCATGTCACACTGTTTCTGAGTCTATCTTTAAAGCACAATGCTGACTGTACCCACATGATATTCCCTCACCCGTTCTGACGTTTCCTCCCTCCCCTCCCCTCCACAGAGGTACCGTCGAGAGGAGTCTGCCAGTAGCGACTCCGACATCGACGACTACAAGCCGTACGTGCCGGTGCGGGAGAGGAAGAAGGAGCGACTGGGACGTCTGTCCCGGGTCCTACAGGTATGTATGGGTGCCTTAGGGCTGGAGAAGGGTGGCAAAGGGGAGGAGAGGAGTTAGACTTGTAGCAGAGGGGAGAGCAAAAAGGAAGCCTACCGACAGAAGGAAATCAGAGGAGTCTTTTGTGAGATGGATGATGCCGATGATGTCGATGTGATTTCTAAGCAGTACTCAGCCGGTCGTTGGCTGCTTACGCTGTTACCGAGGTCCCCTCAGATTTCATTGTGCCTATGACGTGTGCCATGGCCACCCCAGCTGCATCCTCCTCTTATCAGCTTCGAACTCGAGTATCCCACCTCTGATCAACATTCCGTGTCTGACGAGTCTCAGAATGAAGCAGCACTCCACCTCGACTAACAGTTAATATTTGGCAAATCCAAAATTGAGGCACCGCACCCTGACAATCCATATCTGACGAATCTCAGACCGCAGTACCCCACCTCTGACGGCGACTCCGCGCTCAGTTGCAGGACGAGGACCGGCGCAGCGGCCGCTCCAGCGAGGCAGAGCGCGACTCGGACGCCGGATCGGCGCAGGAGAAGGAGAAGGAGTCCTCCCAGCAAGAGGACAGTCAGAAGGAGGATGAGGAGGAGGAAGAGGACATCCAGGCCGCCGCCAGGAAGGCCAACATCTCGCTGCTCGACCAACACACGGAGCTGAAAAAGAAGGCCGAAGGTACCTAGGTGTCGTGTGTAGCGCGATCAATGATTCCGGAATTTAATGCGACTTGATGATTGAAAAACATGTAGCTTTGTACGCTTGCGATTACTTGTAAGTATAGTAATTAAAAAACTTGAACACAACAAATTTACTAGAACGTTTTATCAATTTCCAGAACAAACGTCTGTGGCCATAAAAAAACGACGTGCGCATCCGTTCCCGCCCTGACCTATGCTGACGTGCCTCGTTGTCCTCCGGCAGCCAAGAAGGAGAGCATCATTGAGAAACAGCTGAAGGAGGAGCAGAAGCTGCTGGAGAGCGTGGCGGAGAAGAGGGCGCTGATGGCCGCCGCCGAGCTGGCCCAGGGCGTCGAGTACACCGAGCCCATCAAAACCAGGTGAGCAACCAGCCGAAACCTGACTGAAAGGGCCGCTGTATGGGTACGTGGACACACTAGTTGTTAGGATCAGCTAGGCTTGCGGTTTTACTTTTACAGGTGATCATTTATTACAGTTCCACCTAATAGTTAAGCTTTCATAGCACAATTTGTATTGCGCTCTTCGTTTTCCTACAAAGCTGTTCAGTATTTCGGCCGATCTCGTGTGTCTTCGGCTGCCTGTATAAAATATCTTAAAACTGGTAGGTCTAAATTTGCTTAGCAGGTATTTCAAAGCACAATATTTTCACACAAAAACCACAGTGTTTTTGCTCGTATCTCGCCCATGAGTCTCTCTCCTTCCACCTCCCTGACCCTCCCCCCTCTCATCCAGCTGGCGCGCGCCGTCGGCCATCTGTGAAATGCCCGAGGCGCGCCACGCCCGCGTGCGCCGCCGCCACCACATTCTGGTCGACGGAGAGCACGTCCCGCCGCCGCTGAAGACGTTCGAACAGATGAAGTTCCCGCCGGCCATCGTCAAGATGCTGCACAAGAAGAACATCCTGAAGCCGTCTCCGATCCAGATCCAGGGCCTGCCGGCTGTGTGAGTGCGCGGTGGGGCTGAAGGGGGAGGGAGGAAGGGAAGGAGGGTGGATGGGGAGGTGAAGGAGGAAGGAATGCGAAGGCTTCGCCATTTCACATGCTGTTGGTTTTCGTCACCAGGTTGTGTAGACATAAGATGGTTTCTTGTAGTACAGAAGCTGTAGTGCTTGCCCATTCAGTTTTACGGAATGCACTATATTTTAACGTTCTCTCAACCTTCATTCATTCTTCTGCCGTGAACCTGTTTGACGTATTATCGGCGTCCGGCGATTTATACATGATCATTGATCTATGCTGCCTGTCCCTTTTTCTTACCCTTGCTCCCCTCATTTACCTGCCGTTCTATGTCTCTTTCCTGCTCGGGCCTATCCATCCTCTGTCTCCGCTCCCCGTGTTTAATCCGTTTTGACGTTGTTCCCCCGTCCTCAGGCTCTCTGGCCGCGATATTATCGGTATCGCCACGACTGGCAGCGGCAAGACGATGGTGTTTGTCCTGCCGCTGGTCATGTTCTGCCTGGAGCAGGAGAAGCGACTGCCGTTCATGAGCGACGAGGGACCGTATGGTAAGTGTTAGAGAGCACGTGTCGGGGACGGGGACATTGCGAGCAGTGTGGGGATGTACGAGTGAGCCTCTTAAATGGAAATGGGACAGCTGGGTGAGGGGGCTATGTGATGCGATGAGTGAGAGCGTCGTTAGGACAATTTTATGTGGTCTTTCGAAGGGTTCTATCCGTACAAAGGACGAGGATCACTGGTAAATCGCGTTTTTTCCATAACTTTAGCGCAATATGATTGCGCCTCGTGTGTCATATTCCAGCCTCAGCCCCACATGATATTGTTTAAAATTTATCCGTCCTACAAAAATATGTTATGGACACTGTAACATGCGGCGTCACCATCCAATACAGTCTCCACTTTGTGCCTTTGTTCTCCTCCCCCCCCCCCAAACATACACACCCCGCATCTGCAAGTCACACAGCGTGTGTCGCCCCGCTGTCTCGGGCTGCCTGTGACACATTCATTACGTCATTGCCCGCAGACATCGAACTCCCCTGACGTTATACTGTGGTTGGACGACGTAATGTGTGAGTCAACCGGTCTGGAGCTCGGGTGTTCCCCAGCTAATGAGATGAGTTATTGTTGGAGTGATACACCGGTGGAAAAACCCAGTGCCGGGGATTTCCAGATGCCGAGCAGGCAGACAAACTGTTAGACGATCTAAACTATGCGGTGGAGAGTGAGAGCTCAAAGGAACGTGGCTGCATTGCATTGATAGCATTGCATCGATGCCGCTGTTGGTCGTGTGTGGCTGATACATTGGCCAGAGCATTTGGGCAATGCCTAGATCGGCTTGATGTTAAGCAACATCTTACCCGGACTCATAACTACCGGCTCCTGGCTCCTGCAAATTATCTCCAATTCGCACGCCCGGCCTTTTCGATTGATCCAGCAAGTGGCTGCTAGTGAGTTTTTCCAGCAAGTGTCATGCGTCGCTCTCCATTTCATGATAGTAATTGTTTTGATCTCAGTTGCATGCTATTCTTGGCAGTAATTGCGTAATAAGTTGAATGAATAATTGCCTTTATTGATAGCTGGCTTATGTTGATGTAGCTTCCAAGGGCATTTATGAAGATTTACGACACTATTTACGTTCTAGCTTTAGTGTTACTGCGTTGAACATGGCTCAGATCAGGCAGTCGGGTTTATCTGGAGACGTGGTGTGCTCCAGAATACTCCACGGTGTGCTCTGGAGCAGACTTGTTTCAGCCGCTCTGCTAACTATTCTCGGCACGATCCGCTGTTCTCCCGGTACAGTCTGACTCAGAGGTATTCCAGTGTGCCTCCGGCCACTTCCGAGCATAACTACTGCCCTCCCCTCCCTCCCCTCCCGCTGCGGTGTGACCGGGCGACGAGAGGAGAGGGAGGGGAGGGGTACAGAGCCGCGCTACGTCACTAAACGTCGCAGTATAAACAGAGCGCCGGGCTGGGCCGGCGAACAGTGACTAGTTAGCTGTGAGCGTGGGAGTGTGTCCCAGCGCTGGTCTGATTTGCTTCGTCGCCATGAGATCGCGACTGCTCTGTGCGCCGGTAGTGTGTTTAGTGGTGACGCTGGTCGTCGTGTCCGATGCTCTCCCGTCGATGGGCGGCCCCTTCCAGCGCTCGCGGCGGCCAAGCTCGTCAGCCATCATCTTCCCGGAGGACCGTCGGCCGGCCACACCTTCCCCCGTGTCCGGATGTGTCGACTACGCCGGCCGGCAGGGCCGCTGTGTCACGCTGAGCATGTGTCCGGGTCTGCGGCGGCTGCTGGCCACCAATGGTCCGACGGCAGAGACGGTGCGCCGCCTCCGGGCCGGCGACTGCGGGGCGTGGCGCGGCGGTCCGCTGGTCTGCTGCGGCCGCGGAGACCCGCCCACACCGCCGCCCTCCCCACCGCCGCCCGAGGAGCACCCGAACCTCGCCATCCTGGAGCGTGGTGACCAGCCGTGTGGCATGTCCATCTTCCATCCGAACATCTTCGGAGGCAACCTCACCACCCAGGGCGAGTTCCCGTGGGTGGCCGCGCTGGCGTACGACCACCCGAGCCTCGACAGGCCGGGTGTCAACTGCGGCGGCGCACTGATCGGTCTGCAGTACGTCCTGACCGCGGCACACTGCGTCACAAACCTACCAGAAGGCTTCCAGCTGCACTCGGTCCGTCTCGGCGAGCACGACCTGGCCACGGAGCAGGACTGTGGCGTGCCGCCGGACCCCGAGCTGTGCCTGCCCCCGGCTCAGGTGTTCAACGTCACCGAGACGATAGTCCACCCGCAGTATGACGACCCAGTGCGCGACCAGAACGACATTGCGCTCCTGCGACTCGACCGGCCTGTCATCGAGAACGACGGCGTCGCCAAGGTGTGTCTGCCACTTGGCGTGAAGCGGATAGCCGACCCGACCGGTGAAGACGCCACCGCCGCCGGGTTCGGTCAGACAGGAGCGCGGTTTCTCCAGTGACGTGATGCTGAAGGTTAAGCTGCCAGTGGTGCCGCAGGAGGAGTGTGCCCAAGTGATTGGTGAGCGCGGCCGCACGGTCGGCGGTGGCCAGCTGTGCGCCGGCGGTGTGCGCGGTCAGGACTCGTGTGTGGGCGACTCGGGAGGTCCGCTAGTGCTCCCTGATCGGTTCGGTCCGCCCTACCACATCATTGGTGTGACATCGTTCGGTCCGACGACTTGTGGTATCGGTGACGTACCCGGGGTGTACACCCGTGTTACTGAGTACCTGGACTGGATCCTGGACAATGTGCACGAGTGATGACACCCGTGGCACGCGGAGAAACACAAGGGGCATTGAGCCCAAGGTGAAACGGTGTCCGTGGGGCCAGTGTAACAGCTCAACATATTAAAATAAGCCCGTTGATTGTTATCCGGCTGTGTGACGGTGCTATAGCCTGGTGAATTTTATCTCTCGGCCAGAAGACTGCTAGTCAGCCGCTCGCCGCTCGTTTTGAACCATCGAACCGCTCTACCCGGCGGCAAACGAGCGTTGTAGTTCGCCAGCTCCAGGGCAGCCAGCCGGGCTTTCCAGGCACCGCTCGAGTCTGCTCTGTTTATGAGACGGCGCCTCTACCGCCGGCCTTCCCAAATGTGGCCTGTGGAGCTGTGATCAGTGTCCAACTGCGCAGTCCGGCACCGGGCGATGTTTATGATCTGGCCGATCATGCACGATGAAATCTGAGGTTTATCGTTATGAACTCGGATGCAGGAATGGTGGCTGGTGCTCAGTGTTGGACGTAGTTTTAACGATTGTGAACCGTGAGTTGTGCTGTGTTGTCTGGTATGGTTAATGTTTGGGCTGGCGATGTATAATTTATGTTGGTATGTTAATGTGACAAACAAATACAAATGGTGATATTTTGAGGCCTCTATTGTTATGACTCCTCTGGTCCTGGATCGCGCTTTCTAATTTCGGAAGCTGCTTATGTTATCACTATACGAATATACACCACGGTTTTCTGTGAAATCAGATTGCTATACTGTTCTCTGCTCTCGTCCCACGTCACTCCGCTCCGAACAAGACGCGTTGTCAGCTGACGTTTTGATGACGTCATTAGTTCCTCTGACACACTGCTGACGTCATCAGTGTGGGAACTGGCCGTTTCTGGCACAGCACGTGTTTCCCGGTGTGGCTGTGCTATCCCGCTGACGCTGCTAGTGTTCCGTGACGCCACCGATACATTGACGAGTGACGATGGCATACATCCGGAGGTTCTGGGGAGGAGCAAAGCTGGTGGACTGTTTCCAGCCATATGGATTATGGAAGAAGGATGTGGATGATTCAGTTCCAGCTTCTTCTCTTGCAGACAAAATAGCGCCGTTGCTGACGTGCACTATTCTTGCACATATCAGGCGCACAGCACTGATGATTCAATGCTAAACGAACTACATATCAATACAAATAAACTACCCATACCTACATTATGAAATAATTAGGTAATAATCGTCTTTAGATCACTCAATGTTAATTATATATTTGTTGTATAATCTATCGCATTTTTCTATTTTCTTCTCAAATAGTAAAACTTGTGTCATAGTCTACCTCTGCCGCTTATCGACAATATCCTCAAACTCTGTGTTTCACGCGTTGCTAAGAATCCAGTCCACATAGGAGGCCACCCGTGTGTAGATGCCGGGAAAGCCTCTGGTGGCGCACTTGTAGCCCGTGGAGACGATACCGACCAGCACTCGCCTGTCGTCCGGCTGAGTCACCACCAGTGGTCCCCCGGAGTCGCCGCGACAGGCGTCCCTGCCCGGCCCGGCGGCGCACAGTTTCGTGCCGCCGAACCCGCCGGGAAACAGCTCCTCAAAATCCCCCACCGAGCGGTAGGCCGCCTCGCAGGCGGCCGGGTCGTCGATAGTCACCTCGGCCTCGAGGAGGTCCTCGGACGGCTCACCGTCGAACCCCTGACGGCCCCAGCCGGCCACTGTGGCTCGTAGACCGACGAAGGAGGCGTTAGCGGTCGGCAGGCAGACGGGTGTCACCCGGTGGCCGAGCTGCACCGACCGGCTCAGCTTCAGGACGGCCAGGTCGGCGTGCTTGGTGAACGTCCTGTAGCCCGGGTGGACGATGACCTCAGCCACCTCTCGCAGCGGCGCTAAGTCTCTCTCTTCGTCGCCAATCCGTACTACCAGCCTCCGGCGCTGCTGGGTGGTGAGCTTCATACAGTGAGCCGCTGTCAGTACCGCGCGGGGTGATATGAGCGCACCGCCGCAGAACCACTGCGCCCCACCGCCGGACGAACGCTGCCGCAGGGACTGCCAGCGCGGCTGGTGCCGCAGTCCGAGCTGCACAATCCACGGCCACTCCCCGCCTGCAGCCAGATGACCGCCGGCAATCCGAGGGATGGGCAGCAGCGGTGTCTCCGATCGACCACACTCTGCCGACAGCACCTTGGCCGGTGCCGACGGCAGGTCCACTGGAGAGGCATCTGCAGCCAGACAGCAGGTCTCGGTGCCGGGGAGGCAGTAGTGCTGGGTCGCCTGCGGGCGGCGGCAGCGGCGGAGCGGCGTACATACACCCAGCGCGGGCCGCGTTCCCGACACGACGCAGAAGCTCTCGAACGCGGCCTCTGGTTCCAAATAATCCGAGGATCCTGAGTCGGACGGACCGAACTCGGAGAAAAACTCGGCGTCGTCCTTATTGGTCAGGTAACCGGCCGTGGCCCGGCAGAGCAGCATCAGTGACGCCACCAGAAGCATGATGTCTGTGAGGCGAGAGGTCACTGGTGTCTGCCCTGCGGCGATGTGGTGAACGACCCGGTCAGAACCTGGGCTTTATACAGTTGGTCGTGCTGAACCAGCCACCAGAGAGGTGACTGAGCCCTTGTTGTCCGTCACAGCACGACTGGCCCCCGACTGGCCCCGTTTGGAGGCACGGAATCGAAACGGCTTCACGAGTTTAGGTTGTGCTTCCGTATGGGTTCATTGGCAGTGTTGTCTCGGCATTTAGTTCCGCTTAAGATTTTGACTTCACGTGGCTTGGCTATGACCGAGTGTACTCGCTGACTTACCTCATTCGAACGGTCTATGTAGTGGTTATTGTCCCCTGCTGAATGTATCTATGGCGTGAAATTTAAAGTTAAAGTTATGCAAATTTTTGTTAACTCATGTTAATTTCTTTACAAATTAAATGAAGGTGAACTACTCCCGGTAATTTGGACCTTGATTTGGACGACGATACGTTTATTTGACAAGCTGTCATTGACATTTTGTGTTCAATAAAACGTGATGTTATTGGCATCCCTTTCCCGGATCTTTAGCGCCTTTTGGCATTCGCTGACTGATCACTGTAAAGAGAACAGTAAATCAAATGTTATAATACAACGTTTCTTCCTTTCGGATGGTTTTGGCCGTAATTGCTTGTAACGCCTCGATTCATCATGTTCAAGTTATCTTGGATTCATCTTTGCATTGTCCGCTAGTGCTACACTGGTATGGCTATAAGATTACTAGAATCATGTCAGCACACCAGCCTTTTCGTTCAGTAACGTCAGTTGTTAATTTGTTGCTCGATGTGGTGAACCTAAGGAGCGTAAACTGATAAGTGAATGGCCTCTTGCATCACAGACCACTTTGACTCGCCGTACTCGTTCCGGTATAGCATAGTTTGAATCTGTCTATCGCCTCTGCATTTCAGAATGCTTATAAATGTGCGTACATACAGGGTATTGCAGTATTGTCCAGTGTCCTGACCCGGCAATCCTCATCCTCCAGGTAAGACCTTTTTTTGCACCGTATAGAACCTGATATTTCATCTGCCCGTCCCTCCGCCCTCAGTTATGATCACATGACCCTCTCTCAATCTCCAAGTATGATCATCTGACCCTCTCTCAATCTCCAGGTATGATCATCTGACCCTCTCTCAATCTCCAAGTATGATCATCTGACCCTCTCTCAATCTCCAGGCATGATCATCTGGCCCTCTCTCAGTCTCCAAGTATGATCATCTGACCCTCTCTCAATCTCCAGGTATGATGATCTGACCCTCTCTCAATCTCCAGGTATGAACATCTATGATCTGACCCTCTCTCAATCTCCATGTATAATCATTATCCGTCCCTCCGCCGTCAGGTATGATCTGATCATTTGTCCGTCCGTCTGCTGCCCCCAGGCATGATCATCTGTCCGTCTCGGGAGCTGGCCAAACAGATCAAGGAGAACGTGGACGGGCTTTGCCACGCGCTGCACCTGGCCGGTTTTCCCGAGCTGCGCTCCTGTCTGGCCATCGGAGGTGTCAACGTCACGGAGGCCCTGAGCGTCATCAGAAGGTAAGAACTAAGAACGGCCACCCCTTCTTTCCCACCGCGTGGTCTTGTACTTAAGATGTTGTTCCTTCGTACTTCAATAATTCATCACCTTCATCTTAACCCGCGCCCCAGTGGCGGTCTCAGCCAACTTCGCCCTAGTGAGGGGGGGGGGGGGCATATGTTACCACCCACCTCTAACTCAAAAACTAAGAGGGCTAGAAAGACGCGGTAAAAAGCAGTCGATAGCTCTCAATGCGTACGTTTGAAAGTATATCAGTCATTTTTCACCTTAGAGCAATATTGGGGTCACCAGAGGTCATCAAAGGTCAAAATTTGCCAATTGTCATTATATTTTTCAGAAAACATGCCGCTATCTCAGGAACTATGGTAGCTAGAATAACGCAGGGAAGAGCAATCGATAGCTTTTGAACTCTTCTCTTGAAAAGGTCATTATCAATATTGACCTCAGGTCAACGGTTTGGCCTCCAGAGGGCAAAAAGTCCAAAAATAGCTGTTTTTACGAAAAGTGTTTTTCGACAATAACTTTCGACTGCAAAAAGCCACGACATTTCTATTGCCAGAATCGTGTTCCTCTCGCCGAGACGCGTCGAATGAACTATAATTTGACCTTGAAAGGTCAAGTTGAAAATTTGACCTCAGGTCAAGGTCATGACCTTACCGGAAAAGGTCATGTTGCATATCAGTCGATGCGTCTCAAGAAGGCAAACACAATGAGACCATCCCCAGCGTTCTATCTCTTTCCAATCGCGAGTTATTGGCAAAAAACTGTTTGTAGCCTTAACCCGCGCCCCACTGGGGTCTGTGTATAACACGCCCTACTGGGGGGGGGGGGGGGGCTATTCATAGCCCCCCCTCCTAACTCCGAAACTACTGGGCCGATCGTCAAAATTCAAACGGCGTCTGATGGCCCCGGAAAAACTGTCGAGCGAAACCTAATTTCATTGACCTCGAGGTCACCGATGACGTCACAGGTCAGGTCAAAGTAAAAATTATTAGCACTTTGGCTTGTTCACATTTTGGGCTCTGGCCGCCGTCTTACAAGTCAGATCAGGCTCATTTTTGGTTTCCACACTCGTGAACAGATGCTCTAGATACCTTGAGGGTACCAAACTTGTACTTTGATTTTCAGGTCAGGGTCAGGTCATCACAGGTCACGAAAATATTATATCATGCGTCGGTCACGTGACACATGTTTTATGGTCCATTTAGGCCATAGATTTCGAATTTGATGTCGTCTGTGTCATTCAAGGTCATTTTGAGTCGAAATTACCTTAGGTCAGGTCACTTTCAGGTCAAAAAAGGTCAAATTTTGAAGTTGAAATTTTTCAACAAAAAAGGTGTCTATTGGATGCAGTTTGAGCTCAGGAACACGATGGTGCCATTTATATTGGTGTACGATGCCAAATACGTACTGAAAAATTGATTTGAAAAATTAATAATTGTGAATTTTTTGCAATAATGCGTATAACTTGGCCATTTTTGAAGATATTTAGCTAAAACTTGCTAGAGTTAGTCATAATCATGCGTTCTATCACACATATTCCGGTTTTTTCGAAAAGTCAAAAACTTTTTGAAAAAAATATAAAAATATAAATTTTGAATATTATTATATAAAATTTTCGAAATTTTCAAAATTTTGAAAATCCGAGATAACACTTTGATAGCGCGGTCAATTCTGAGTTCTTTCATGCAAAGAAATTGGATCTAGCTTAAAAACTGAGCTCTTGGGAGCGATTGCCGTGGTTCAATGTTTTGCGTCGAAATCGGCCGAACATGACGTCACTCTGACGTCATTTCCGGCCGACCTATGGTAGCTACGAAGTTCAAATTTTGACACAAGGTGTCAAATTGATGCAGCCGAAGGTACTGAAAGTTTGGCGTCGATTCGTCAAGCGGTTTGGAAGTTATTGCAGAAAAACGGGAGGGGGGGGGGCTATAAATAGCCCCCCCCCCCAGTGGGGCGCGGGTTAAAGGTAGACTGCCACCTTTTTTCCACAAAACGGTTTTCACTAGAGCTGAGCCACCTATGTCCCAGACTGAAGTCGGTTTTCCGAAATTCGAACCCGTTTGCGAGAAATCGGAGACCAAAGTTCAGTTTGATGCCATTTTTTTAGTCCAAGAAAACCGACATCTCTACTGTTTATCGATAGCTTTGAAACAGGAATTTTGTTATCTTTTGGTAAATATATGTCAAAACTTTGATTGTTTCGAGATCAGAGAAGAATTTTGAAGTGTCAAAATAAAAGTTAAACTTATATATTCAGTAGTTCATTTTTTCCAAAAAGTGTGGGAAATGGGGTTTAACATGGGCCAGACCCATTCCAAATGAGCCATGATTTTTAAATGTTTTACGAACTTAAATGCAAAATAAATTAAACATGGCCAATTTCTTATGAAATCATATATTAGTAAATCATAAAATACCTTACTTTTTCAAATAAAATGTAATAATCTTATGACCTTGAAGTCTAGTGATGTGTAAACATTGTCGCTAGACATTAACCGATTGATAATTGTATGATAATCGACAATTTTTTTCGCGATTCACGTGATGATATTTTGTCAGGTGAATTCTAAAATTTTGTTTTGTCCAGGGAATAAATCATAGGCCGATCTGAGAAAACTTTTTGAAGGTGGCAGTCTTCCTTTAAGTCACCTCAGATGACCTGTCTAGAGGCTATCAGCAAAAATGACACCTTGGTCATCACGAGTGGACTTAAATCACTGTGATTCTGAAATATTTGGACTGTTCTGATGCGTACACAGTCACACGGATCTAGAGGCATTTTCATTTTTCTCCATTGACTTGTAATGGAAAGGTTTCGCCACTGACCTGACCTTAGGTCACGGATATAAAAAATCCGAGATATACAAATTGTAGGCGCCCATAACAGCATGCAACCCACCAAGTTTGAAACCTTTCTGACAAACACTGCAGGCTGGACATGATTGCAAACTTTTTTAGGCTTGGTCAGTTAACTTGACCTGGTGACCTGACCTGACATGACTTGGGGTCAAAAATTTCACATTGTCCAAAATTGATGTACCAAAAGCTACCCCAAGCGGCGCGGCGCTACGCGCCTCGGTTTTTTATTCACACGCAAAAAACGCGACAGGGTGGTAACATATGCCCCCCCCCCCCACTGGGGCGAATTAACCCGCGCGAGGCTGGGGTCTCAAGCCGAACGCGCGGGGCTGGGGGGGGGGGGTAAATTTTACCCCCCCCCCCCGTTATCTCCCGAACTAATGGTCCGATTTGGAAAATTCAAACGCCAATCGAAAGATCTCATCACGAACAACTAAAAACATGTACTTGATTTAAAGTTTGAGGTCAAGGTCAAGGTCAGGTCAAGGGTACAAATTGCAAGTTCCTACAGTATCGGCCTTGCACCGTAGTTGCCGAAGAATGGAGTCATCGACTGAGACTGATTGCCCAAAACGTGTTCTTAGGCTACCAAGACAATATTCGTTGCATACAATATCATTCAGAGGTCAAGGTCAAGGTCAGGTCAGGTCACCAAATACAAAATATAGAAAAGGGCATGTGCGACACATGTTTTATGGGTGCTTTTACTCATTGAATTCAATAGGCATACTCAATAAGTGATATGGACCACCTCTGGATGAATTTCAGGTCGAGGTCAGGTCAAGTGAGGTCAAATTTTAAAGTTGGTTGTTAAGGCCTAAAAAGGTGTCTATCTGGTGCAGTTTTTCACGGCAAATCGAATGGTGCTATTTTTGTTTCCGTACGAGGTCTAGAACTTCAAAAAAAATCATTTTTCAATTGTTTTTGTGTGTCGTGACGTCATAAAATGTTTAATAACTCACACATTTTTGAACCGATTCTTCTAAAAATTGGTATGTAGGTGCACATAGACCACTTCTCTGACATATATTCCGTTTTTTTTGATACACTCAAAATTTTGGATTTTATAATTATTTTCCCAAAAAAGTCAGTTTTTTGGAAAAATTTGAGCCAAAATCCAACATTTTCAAAAAACCGAGATAGCCATTTGATAGACAAAGTAAAATTACGTACAACCTTTTTTGTTACGTCTTGATTCCTTCAAAAATGAAGTTGTTAGCGGCGTTTGAAATTTTGCCGTTTTTGAGGCGAAAATGGCGAACATGACGTCACTAAAACGTCAATTTCTCAAAAATTGTCCGACGGATTTCGCTCAAATTTTCAGGTAACGTGTCAAATTGATGTAAGAAAAGGTACTGAAAGTTTGGCGGCGCTGCGCGCCGCCGTTTTTGAGATATTGCCAAAATTCGCGAGGGGGTAAAATTTACCCCCCAGCCCCGCGCGGGTTAACCTTCGCCTTCACCATGGAATTTATCTTCTACGACAGAGTCTGTATAGTCTGTGGTATACTATATATTCCCCGTACCTTCACAAGTACTTCTCCTTCTCTGCAGTCATTGGAGCATGCGTCTTACATTGACCCTCCATTGCCTAAAGGTCTTCGTTGAGTCACCTGTACCGCCGATTCCGAGGGGTACAGGCAATTCGTCGCACCCTCAACAGCATCTTCAGCGCTGGACGCTGTCCATTCTGTACTGGCAGGCAGCCTTTTTTCCGTGCGGACCTCACGCCCGATTATGATTCGCCCATTTTCCCACATGACCAACCACTAACCCCCTCCCCTCCGTTACCCAGGGGAGTACACGTTCTGGTGGCCACACCGGGTCGGCTCATGGACATGCTGAACAAGAAGATGGTCAAGCTGGACGTATGCCGCTACCTCTGCATCGACGAGGCCGACAGGATGGTGGACATGGGCTTCGAGGAGGACATCCGAAACATCTTCTCCTACTTCAAGGTGTGTTTGGTTTCCTTTTATTGTATGTAGTTTTCACGCATGCTATCTTATGCTTATAACGTAGACTTTTTAAAGGCCGCGTGGTTTCAAGGATTTCATCTTATCTTGTCTTTGTATGTCTCATCGGCTGGTGTTCGGTATGTTTACTTCCATTTTCAGGCTGTTTGATAACTTGATTTAGCTACATATACTGCGTTAAACCTTGTCTCATCACACCGAATATGTCGCCTCTCCACAGGCCCAGAGGCAAACACTGCTGTTCTCCGCTACAATGCCCAAGAAGATCCAGAACTTTGCCCGCTCGGCGCTGGTGAAACCCATCACCATCAACGTGGGTCGCGCGGGAGCGGCTTCGATGAACGTTACGCAGGTACGGAGCTCAGCACATCGCTACAATGCCACCGAAGGTGGTCGGTGTATAGGAATATCAGGTTGTGTATCATGCTCACGGTGCTGCGTGATAACCTGCGTTCATGGTTGATGTATCGGTGTGCTCGGATTGCGGGTACGTTTTCGTTTTATTCATTCCATTGTGGTATTTGTTGAGGAGTGTGGCAAGAGAAGCAATACAGTTTGCAGTTTTTCAGTTTGCAGTGCTTCAATGACTTCACTTGATCCATATGCGCTTAGAAATCAGTGCTGCTAGTTGTGCACCCAATCAACGTCCGTCTCCTCTCTTCCTCTCTCTGCAGGAGGTAGAGTACGTGAAGCCGGAGGCGCGCGTGGTCTACATCCTCGAGTGTCTGAAGAAGACGCCGCCGCCGGTGCTGATCTTTGCCGAGAAGAAGCAGGACGTGGACGCTATTCAGGAGTACCTGCTGCTCAAGGGCGTTCAGGCTGTGGCCACGCACGGTGGAAAGGGTACGTGGAAAATTGGGGTGGAACGTTGTTTTGGGTAGTAAGGGTGAAAAACATTAGCTGGCCATAGGAGGGAAAGGTATTTGGGCGCCTAGAGTAGAGGTATGGGACCGTTGAAATAGGGTTTTGAGCTTATGTTTTTTTTCTTGCATCTTACGAGTATCGAGTGGTGGTTAGGCATCAAGGTCGATTTGACTTTGGTACACAATCCATCTAACTACCTGTTTCTACCTGTCGCTATGTCTTCTTGTTGCTTCTCTGTGTGTCTGTGCTCTAGGAGCTGCCAAGTCACGTTTGCCGATAAATTTTATTGTAAGAAGCGTTCAACGCACGATAGTTTAGAATTTGTTTGTTTTGACTTAGAATTTGTTTAGAATTTGTTTGTTTGTTTTGAAATTTGTTTAGAATTGACACAAAAGCTAACTTCGCCGCTTCTGCTTGTTTCAGACCAGGAGGAGCGGTCCCGCGCCGTCGAGGATTTCCGCAGCGGTAACAAAGACGTCATGGTGGCCACAGACGTGGCCTCCAAGGGCCTCGACTTCAACCAGATCCAGCACGTCATCAACTTCGACATGCCAGACGACATTGAAAACTACGGTCAGTTGACGGAAACGCTTGGATCCTTCACCTTTTTAGGCACAAAATTTGTTTCATAGGGAAACAAACCCGCTCTTTCCATAGAGATCTTATATACATATGTATATAAGATCTCTATGGCTCTTTCTGGCTTGAAAAGTGGGGGATAAATGGGCAGTTTAGGCTCAGTTTCGTGGATTTTGAGGTTTCTGAGTTTGGAGGTGGCCTAGCTTTTATATCAGTTGTAACAGATGTAGTTGTTTTCACGATTCCATTGTGTCCATAATTTTATGCTTTCCGTCACCGCTTAGCATCTGTCCTCCAATGATTTCAGCGTTTATCATTCAAAGTCTTCTAATCCGTATATATCACCGCCATATATTGTCACCGCTTCACTATCGTTTTGTTTTCCGTCCCCCAGTGCACCGTATCGGTCGTACAGGCCGCTCCAAGAACCGGGGCGTGGCCACCACATTCGTCAGCAAGGCTAACGACGAGTCGGTGCTGCTCGACCTGAAACATCTGCTCATCGAGGCCAAGCAGAAGGTGCCGCCGTTCCTGGCGGCGCTGTCGTCAGAGGCCGAACAGTACCTGCAGCTCGGAGGTGAGGGAGGCGGGAGTGACGCAGGTGCTACCGACGGGAACATGGCGGTTGTGTGGCTAGCTGGTCATGCTCTTGGTCTGGTGTTCATTGATTGATTGATTGATTGGTTGATTGATTGATTCATTCATTCATCCATTCATCCACTCATTTATTCGTTCTTTCATTCATTCATTCATTCATCCATCCATCCATCCATCCATCCATTCATTCATCTATTCATTCATTCATCCATTCATTCATTCATTCATTCATTCATTCATTCATTCTTTCATTGTTTTTTTAACCATTCATTCACTTATCCATTCCTCTATTCATTGGATTGTGATTTTCTGAGCTTGTTCACTTGCACGATTATTTCTTCAGGGACTCACCTTTCATTGACACTATCTCCTTTGTTTATTGAAAATACTGTCCCTAACTGCGCCCCTTCCTGTCTCTAACCCCGCGCTCTGCTCTGTTCCAGACGATAAGGGCTGCAGCTACTGCGGCGGCCTGGGTCACCGCATCACCAACTGTCCCCGGCTGGAGGCCGTGCAGAACAAACAGGCCTCCAACATCGGCAGGAAGGACTACCTGGCCAACACCGCGGCGGACTACTAGAGACGGCCGGTGGGAGTCGTGGGGGACTATTGAGTGTAGAGTTTGGGGGACTAGCGAAATCCGAGACTGGGGGAATAGCGAAATCGGAGTCTGGTTTACGGCAGAGCTTCCGACATGGTGGACTGCTGGTCCCATTTCTGCAGTTGTTAGGATCGCGCTCTGTGGTTTGGTGAAGCCAGCTGGAACCATATTCCGGTCGGTCTGTGGCTGGTTTTCCGCTTTTTTTTTGTCGGAGGTGCGCACTGACCTCGACTTGGTGCTGTGACTAGGGGGTGTTTAGCTCATACATCATCAACATCACTGTTCCTCTGGACGTCTGGCCGCGACTGCTTGTGAGGGGTGGCGAAAGAGGTCGCTCCTGTAGCTGTGCTTACTGAAGAGCGCCGTCCCAACTCCGTATGAACCAACTACCAGTTGCTTACCAATGTCATTGTCGTGGCATGTAATATGTGACGTATTTGTATGTCAAGTGTTTTATATTGTCTGTGATGAACATACCAGCACAATAAGTGTTCCTCAAAGATGTAAAGACTGGCTGTCTGGCTGGTGCGTCATTGTATTTTCATAATGTGTTGTCCATGTATAGTGAACTGTTTTTTTTTCAATGATGCATCATACGTGAAGCTGTTTTGCGACTTGTGTGCACATGCGTGTTTTCTGTGTAAAATGGAACATTGATGGATTAAATGGCATTGATAGGATTCGTCTCATTTTGTACGCACACATGTGATCAGGCAAACATGCGTTCATATCTCGAATATATTTCGAAATGAAGCACCATTTTGTTGAACTCTGCCTGGTTGGTCATCATGAGTTGGTCAACTTCATGGTAACCGTTCCGTCAATTCTCCCAGCGAATCAGTTTCAAACAATGTTTATCGCGTGTATTGCTAGGCAACCGTCGATAGCGCATTGTCCCACTCTTTTACCGCCATTTGGATAAAGCAAGCACGGGTTCCGCTACTGGCATGCCGCTAACGCGGTACGCAAATGACACGCTTAATGTCAACAAATGGGCAAACAAGTTAGTTTAGTTGGGTGAAGCGATGTGTTCGATGGCCTGCCCGCTGATTAGTGAAACAGTTTGCTAACACGAACTCGTTAGACAATTCACCAAAACGTTTTGCATATGATGAAGACGAGATAATGCAGACTTGTGAAGTACGCCTTCATCTACTATGTCGCCTCCCTTTCACATACATTCCTCCTACGCAGGGTGGTAAAGGGCGGGCCAGTCCTGATGATAAACTTTGTATTTTCCCACCCCATTCCTGGTCACCATTTATAATCCCGCTCCCCTCTGCCTGCCAGTCCCATGCTCCCTCCCCTCTCTCTCCGGTTAGGGTCAGCACCATTACCTGCTCCCTCCCTCTCCCTCCCTCTCTCTGAACGTGAAGCTATCATCACCATGGACCATTCTCCGCTCCCCGCCCCTCCCCAGTCTGTCACCACCCTTCCCGAATCCGTCACCACCCGCGCCGCTGTTGTAGGCTGACCTCCGCCCCCTCCCGACGCCCCGGCTCCTGTCGACGCTCGTCTGTCGTCACCGACGCGATGGGGCGCCGCCAACGTCGGTGACGACGCCGGTGGTGCGTCGGGCTCGACACATGGAGCGGCGGGGTTACGGCGCGAGGGATCGTGGGGATTGTGGGGGATCGGCGGTTGACAGCAAGAGTCGCGGGGCTTTAGGGCGCGTTTACCCGTGGCTGTGGCCCATAGGAGTTACTTTGGTGACCACCGAACGGCTGTGTTTGGCTTGAGAAAGCTGCTGAAACTCGAACTCAGACAATCTAGCAGGCCTGGCGATTCCAATTCCCACAGGAAGTGTTTCTAAGCTATGGACAAAAATAGCGCGTAATAAATGAAACTACTCACAATCGTTTTTGATACTGATTGGCGCAACAAAAGATATTTTGAAGCTAAAACCTTAGGAAAATGCTTCTATGTAGATGAAACTTGCCTCTGTCTTTCGTCTCAACCATAGTCTGTTTTCTATTTCGGCGTCGTTTCTTTGATCTGTGACTACTCGCTCTACGTTCTCTAGGTAACGTTTTTGATTTGGTAGATGCGCGTCTATGGAACATGGCCGGCCCACTCGCCCATAATGCCCGACAATGCTCTCTAACTGGGCGTTATCTGGCCATCATGTCGCCAATCGGTCTGGCCTGGCTCTTAATCTGTCACCATAAATCGGCCCAGTTTTGGCGGTCGGACCGCCGCGTCGTGTCCAGCTAATGGAAAGCGGCGGACCTCCCACTCTCAGTCTCTTCCCGGCCTCCACTCCTCCGCTCCTTCAGACTGGGGCCTCAGGAGCCGTACATCGCGTCGTGGGATGCCATAGAATTAATCTGGAAATGTTTCATAAAAGTGAGTTAGGTTCCGTACCGTCCTTACTCCGTATGCCTTGCCGTCTGAGTTGAAACCTGCAGACTTGCTGTAAACGGCGCTGATTTTAAATACAACAAAACAATGCTAGGGCTGATTGCAGGAATTTTTAATAGACGAAGTGAAGCCTTTGATCGGAGGGTGGATTGTTTCCACTTTCCACACAATGATGAATTAGCTCATTTCTCTGACTTATCGATGAAACCGGATTGGCTTACAGAACATCCCTCAGAAAGCCAGGTACCTATTTCTCGAACATTGCCCCGTTCGCTGCCCCTTCCCCGGGTGATAACCTGCTCCGGGTCGGGTGGCTTCCACGTGTCTCCTCCGATCGTTCAGCCCAGGGGAGCTCTCCACCCCTCCACGGGGCACGGTGCGCCGGCCGGGCACGCGTCTGCCGCGGACAGTTGTGACAGATCGCTGGGGAAGCGGCGTCTCCCGGCGTACATCACTCGTCTCCCCTCGCCGGGCTCGTCACGGTAGGCGGCGGGCGGCTACGGCTGAGCGCACCGCGCCGCAGCGGGCCCGGAACGGTAGCGATCGTATTGCTGCTCGTGCCGCTGTCTGCAGCCATGGGAGGGGAGGCGTGGCGCGGGGAGGGGCAAACCGGGAGGTGTGGTTATGGAGTGTCTGTCTTCGACGGAGCCGGGGGAGATATCTCGTCACAGTGCGAGGTAGATGAGCCGAAAATATCGGAAATAATGCCGCCTGATGTGGCGGAGAGTCCGAGAAATGTGCGGTAATTAATGGATTGCCGCCCGTTGGCGGATACGAGGGGTTCCCGGAGGGGAGTTTTAGCACGGGGGATCACTCGACTGAGCTCATGAGCCCCTCTCCATCTGACACGTGGCGAATACGTCTTCATGTCGCCAGACTCGGATATGGGATATATGGGGCCATAAGTATTTCTGCGGTACGGTAGGTATTGATTGTCGTCCGTCCCAAGAGGTGACGATTTCACAAAAGGCTTCGAGAGGCTATTTGAAAAGCTTGAATCTTATGGGGTAGAAAGCACTTGGTTCTCAAATTACTTATCAGACCACTATCAGCAAGTTAGACTTTGCTTTCCAGATGGTCGTCAGCTTCTATCCAAGGCGGCTAGAAACCCTATCGGAGTGTACCAGGGCACCTCATTGGGGCCCCTCTTGTACAGTATTTTTGCAAACGACATCAGCCTATACGTCGGCGACGACGTTAGCATCACTCAGTACGCCGACGACACGCAGATTCTTGTTACCGGACACAAGCGTGACAATGCGAGTCTCATTCGGCGCATGGAGTTAGCCCTGTGCACTTTATTCCAGTGGTTCACCCAAAATCAGATGAAAATTAACTCTAGCAAAACTCAACTTATCGTTTTTGGCACACGTCATATGCTCCAGGGTCTTCCCAAGATTTCCATTAAAGTAAATGGTGTGACTGTGCAGGAGGTTGAGCGAGTAAAGAATTTGGGGCTGGTTATGGACCGACACTTATCTTTTGAACCGCATGTCAACCAACTGGTTGCAAAGTGCACCGGGCTACTTATAGCTTTGAGCCATGCGAGGCATCGTTTACCTGAAGGTGTGCTACCAGTGATCGTGAGTGGCTTGGTTATTTCTCTGATTCGATACTGCATTGTTGTATACGGAAACTCAACTACACACTCAGTGACGCGCATTCAGAAACTGTTAAACTTTTGCGCAAGAGTGGTGTCAGGGCGGAAAAAGCGGGAACATGTGCGTGATGTGTTGACAGGGGCGTCGACGCGTAAGGAAAACTGGTCCGACTTTTTCTCGGGGGGCCCCCACCGGTGGGGGCCCCCCGCGAAGGGCCCCGCGAAGGCGCAGCAGGGCCCCCGCGAGCCGCAGCGGGGGGCCCCCGTTGCCGCAGCAGGGGCCCCCGAGAGCCCCAACAGGGGCCCCCCGCGGCCGCAGAAGGGGACCCCGCGGGCCGCAGTAGGGCCCCGCGGTGTCTAGCAGGGCCCAGAGGCGCAGCAGGGCCCCCCGAGCCACAGTAGGGCCCCCGCGGTCTGCAGCAGGGGCCCCCGCGAGCCACAGCAGGGCACCGCCTAGTCGAAAAAGTGGTCCGACTAGTCGGAAAAGTCGGACCGGTGTCGACGCCCCTGTGTGTTGAGCGAGTTGAACTGGTTGCCTGCCGAGGACCTCGTGATGTATCGTACACTGTGTCTGCTGAAAGCCATCCTCACCTACGAACAACCGGCTGACTTGGCGAGTCACTTTCGAACGGCGATGAGTGTGAGGCAGAGATCGACCAGGCAGGACGACCATCTTGTTTTACCACGCATCAGAACAGAGTCAGGGAGGAGAATGTTCATCTACCGGGGGGCCCGAGCATATAATGCCCTACCACCCTCCGTACGGGACGGACGCACCGCGGCTTTCAAAAACGCTTTGCGGATACACATGGGTCAGGCGCGGCAGATGCAGGTGTGAGCGTGCTCGTGTGTGGTACCTTTTAGCATTCTTTCATTGGGTTAGTTGCCTTTTGCATTGTTTTATGTCGTATTAGTGTCGTGTGTGTATGCCTTTTATCCCACAACTGACGTAAGCACATGAAAAGCCGGTGTATGTTTACCTGGATGAGCTTGAAATACATTCTGAATTCTGAATTCTGAACTCAGGCATCCCACTAACATTTTACCGGACGCTTTTCTTCCAATGCTCCAGGACTGGTCTCAAACCCGCAATCACTGCATGCGACCGGATCCAATAACACGAGCCACGAGATCACTTCAGAGTTTCGATAATACACTTCCCATACAGTTGACCGCATCTGTCACATGCCCGCTGCCACCCGCCGCGTCGCCGGCGCATATGTCATACCGTCACATGACAGCTCGCGGTTGACGCATGCATACTGCATAATGCATACAGATGACGACGATCGACTGCGGGTGGAGAGCGATCTGCGGTCGCTGACACGCTGCCTTCCGATGGGCGGACTGGCGGGATCGGCGGATCGGTGAAAGATATTTGGCTTCTATAGTCTCGGTTTGGGGCGTGGTTTCGGTCGACTATTCATTAGATGGTGGTGCAATACAGCGCTGTGCCCAGGGGTGTAGATTTTTCAAAATGGTTGGGGGTGCTCACAGGGGCGCCGCCACGGATTTTTGACTGGGGGGGACGGACTGACCAACTGAAAACCCAAAAGTAGACATTCTTACCGTGGCTTTTTCGGTCGGATGCATTCAACGTTTAAAGCAAATATGCCACTTTTAGCATAGGGTTTTGAACTGAAGTAACGGTTTTGTAGCTTGAACTGAGACGAGAACAAATCAGGAGCATTTATGGCCCAACGATCACCCTAGCCAAATATATCGGTATCGATTTTAGGTTTGAAGACTGAAGTCATTCCCATAGATTACACTTTGTCATTCTCTTACCGAT